TCGATCTCCCAGAGAACACGAGGATTTATCACTAGTTCCGGGGGTCGCGATCGTTCGGAAATAAGTTCGGGATCGTTCGCCATTCGTACTCTCGGTCGTGCGGAATCACCCGCAATCCAATCGTACGTCGTTGGCCAAACCAAATCCGTCACTCTCCTTGGACCGGCCCACATTGGCACAAAATATTCCCTCGTCGTTTTCTCGGAATCGGACTCAATTCACGGTCGAGCTCTCGGGTCCACATACCGTTTTCCTAGTTAGCCATTCCCTATTGGTCAGTATCCCGAGAATGATCAGTTCCGGACGAGACTTACTAAAACGAAATGAGAAATAACATCAATTTCGTTGATCACGAAAATGGGTCAAATTCAGGACGTTACAATTAGAAACCCAAGTAAAGTGTGGGAGTGTACCGTACTTCTATTAACCATTGATTAAATGGATTTGTGAACTTGATTACATTTGATTACTCTAATACTTTTTCGGTACATTTTCTCTTTTATTTTCAAAAATATTTTGCAGACAACTGGGGTTAATTTTGAAACATAACTACTAATAATGAGGAGTGATCATGCAGGTGTATAATCAATGAAAGTAGCAACCAACAATCAAAGCACCAAATAAATGAATTACTAGAACAAAAGAATTCAGATACCAAGAATTAATATAAAGCACTAAGCATACTAGCATAACCGTGATTTTCTAAATAAATATGTTAGTCTAATTAACTCTTTTTTGGGTTTTTCTTTTATTCATAAAACTAACCATATGACATTCTAATCTTGGTTAAATATGCATGATGACATGTGACATGACCTAATTCTAATGATGGGCAAAAATAACATGAAACTATTCTAATATGACATGAATTAAATGAGCCTAAACATGCAATCACTAAATGACATGGCATATAACGTGGCAATAACATGGTGTTCATGATGACATGGCATAAATGACTTGGCATTTGACATGGGCATGGTGACATAACAAACATTGATGATGTGGCATATGACATGGCATGTGACATGGCAAGCATTGAAGACATAACATGATGACATGGCAGATAGTGATGCAAGTATGATGCAACTAAATCTATATGATAGGCCAATGGTATTTTGCTATTTTTTTTATCAATGCAATTAATAAGTAAGGAAATAAATTATATAGAGTGAAATATTATTCAATTCAAACTAGGAAATAAACTAGGTCAAATCCTAGTTTTAATGAAAACCTCTTAACTAGATAAACTTTATCCTAGCATGAAATCTAGCTAGAAAAAGCTATCATGAAAATTTTATTTGAAATCTGTCTAAATCTATAATATCTATCCTAATCTTATCTAATCTATTTGATTTTTTTAGAATATGAATCAAATCAAACAAAGATAATCATCAATTGCAAAAGATAACCACAAATCACCAAAATATAAGAATCAAATATCTCAAAGATTATCTAATTGACTCGAATTTGGAAATAAGTAAAACCGAACTATCGACCATGTGCACATTGTCAAACTAGGAAATAATCCTAATTAGATATACCTATCACTCAAAATATGCAAGTTAGATCACCATTTATTCAATTTAGGCAATAAGATATCAAATTCAATTTCGGATAAGATTTTACCTAATTCGAAGATTTATGTCCAATTAGAGGACCAACGGATCTCGCGGTGGTGATCGGCGGTGGTGCATTTACAGCCAAGGACAGCCGCGGTGGTGGCTCGCTGGTAGAGGTCTCGAATCATGGCTGGCTTCTTGGCTCGACAACACCGAGGACTCGAGAAAATCTGTAAAGTAGAAGCAAAACACCTCAGCGACGGTGCAGGAAAATCAGAGCCGAGTCGTTGTTGTAAGGCCAAGAAAAAAACAACAATTCATTGTTGTCGCGGTGAAGGTGCTGCAGGCCGCCATTGGTGCAGAACAAGGGAGCGGCGCCACGAGCCGATGAATAGAGACGACAATGCAGGGCTCGATGTGAGCAGGCAGCAACAGCTTCGTCGGCTTGCGGCTTGAAGGAGATGATGCCGTTGTCTCCTCACGTTGCCGATGTAGATCACGAGAGTGGCAACTTCGTCGGCTCGCAATGCAGGACTGGTTGTGTCAACGACGAGGAAGCAGCAAACGTCGACAGTGCAGGGACAAGCAGCAAAAAACGTTGACGGCGTCAGGACTCATCAAGATGCTTCTCGGTCGACTGGAGAAGTAGTGGCAACAGCATGTCTTCGGTGTGGAGTCACATGAGGATGTTGTGTCACAGTTACACTGGTTCTTTGTCGTCGAGCAGCAAGCAGTGTAGTGGGAGCTCAGAGCAGCAAGTCGTCGCCGGGATTGGTCTCAGGTAACCTGGAGGTGCTCGACAGTGTGGAGTAGCGGCCAAGGCAAGGAGGCGCGACCGTGATGGAATTCTCAGCCGCTTCTCTCGCCTTTAGCTCTCTCTCTCTTAAGTGTTTTTCTCTCGTGTGTTCTATCTAGAATTGCCAAACTAGACATGTTTATAAGGCGACCACCTAGATCTAAACTTTATGAAACGGAATTGATTTAGGCCTTATTAAAATAATGTGCTCCAATAACCTAAGACTTTTCATTAATTAAACTCTAATGAGATGAATTCCATTAAATTAAGCTCAATAAGCCCCCACCCCTCTGTGAATTTCGGCCAGTGCAAGTCTTGTGGGCTTGGCTGAATTTTCTCATCTCTAGTGTTTATTTAACAATAGGCTTAACTATTAAGAGCTTAACTTAATAAAGTTCAAAGCCTTTCAATTCTAATGGGCTAAACCCAGATCAACTAAAGCTCAAGACCTTTTGCCTTGCAATTTTCGGCCAGTGCTACTTCCTTAGGGCTTGGTCGAATGGGCTCAGTCCAAATTATTCCATTTAGTTCAAAATCATCCATCACCTGTCCAATTAAAATGTGATTTTTTGGAATTTATCTATATGTTATGAAATGCTCCTAAAATCTATATGCAATTTAGTGAAAATTATTTTTGTTAATAAATTACTAAATGAGATGCCAAAATTCAAGTGTCAACATATTCTAATATATTTTGTCTTAATCCAACAACGTGGTAATTGGTTCTAAATTGGACAAAGTGGATAAGATGGCATGATGTGGTGCCACTTGGAACTATCTTGGCCGTCCAACAACCATAAGAATTCACGCCCATCAAGCTTCATTCAAGCCTCACATGCCATTGTCACATGCCACTCACATGAATTGATCACCTGTCGATCATATGGCTATCATATCTCACGTCCATGGACAAGCATGTATTGGAACATACCTCATGAATAGCCGGCAAAATCATGTGCGACTCACATAAATCCTTATTGTCTCATTTGTCCATTCCTAATCCATTTAAATCTCAGCCCTTAACCTCTAAACTGTCTCATCCACCGGTCTTCCAACCATCCTCTTTTATCTTTTCAATTCTCACTGTACATCCAAAACCCCCACGGCCGGCCAGTCTAGCCCATCACAGTCGTCCATCTCTTATCCCATTTAATGTTAACCGTTCATCTAATACTAAGCTCTATCCAATCTCTTCTAATCTGATTAGGGCTCCCAAAGCCTATAAATAGGACCATATGGCTAGCCATTCAAGGCATCCACACACTCTCACTCGAGCATTCTCCAGACTCTCTCTCTCTCTCCGCCTTAGGCATTCCACCGGCGACACTCCTCCTCCAAGTTGTTCCAATCGGCGGCTTCCACTCTTCATCGTATCCTCCATTGGAGTCCATTACCTTCATCCGTGATCCCACTTGGCATCCATCATCACTGTCGGTCATCCCTCAAGACCACATCGTCGGCCAACCCCACTCCAAGGCGGTCCTCACTCCTCTCAGCCATTGGTCACCACCATCATCCACTCAAAGTGAAGACTACCCACCAGCCTCCACATCATCCCGCGGCCTCAATCACAACGTCGACTCGGTCCCTTGTCGAGAGCATCTCACCATGACCGTCCCTCATCTGTGGTGGTCTACTGGTGCACCTCAATTGGCCATGCCTCAATTTTGTTCCTTGGTGATTCTCAGCTGTGGAAACCAACCCAAGGTAGGATTAGTCTTCAATTCAAGTCCTAGTGGGATTTTTGCTGAAGTTTTTCCATGTTAGACGATGGTCGTGCTATGTAGGGGGTAAACTGATTTAGGAATAATTTGGTTTCCCCAAATAAAAAACTAGACTTGTCTTGAAGTATAAATGGAGATAGAGATAACAAGAAATGGCCCCACACATAAATGGCCCATTTGGTAACATTTCTATTTATCTATTTTTTCCGAAATAGAAAAACAACAGAAATCCTTTTGTGTACGTTAGTTAAATTTTCTATTCCTCGGAATAGAAAAGTGACCAAAGAATAGATTTGGAACGGAAATAAAAAGTAAAAAAAAAAAATTCTACCTTTTTGTTCCTAAGAACAATTTCTAAAACAAGGTCATTTTCTTTTTTTTTCCTTCTTTCCTCCTCTAGCCAGTCGCCGGGCCTCGGCGATGGCCGGTGAACATTTAGAGATGAGGGTTGGCGAGGTCAACCTCACCTAACCACCAAGATGTTGGCCTTGCCATGGCCGAGCGAAGCCGACCTCGCGGTGTTTGGGCGAGGTCGTGCCTCACCGTGGTGAGGTAAAGGGTTGAGGCCAACCTCGCCTACAGCTAACAAGGTCGAGCCTCACCGGTCGTCGGCCATCGTCGAGGCCCAGCGATCGGCTAGAGGAAAAAGAATAATAGAGGAAAAAAAGGAAAGAAAAAAATTCAAACAAATTAAAAAAACCTTGGAAAATTATTAAAAAACAAAAAAAAAATTCCACATCACAAAAAAATTTAAGGTCGTACAAAACCTTTTTTTATTCCAAGAATAGAAATTTTGTGCTGTTATCAAACGCGTTCTTCTGCTCAGAAACTCGTCCAAGGAATAGTAATAGAAAAAATTATTTCTGAACAGAAATTATTCCCGAGAACAGAAATATTACCGTACACGTCCAAAGGAAGCTATTAATTAACAATAATACATTTGATCCTATTTATCCTCATTAATGAAGGAGACCAATTTCTTCATCATCTTCACAGCATTCTCACAGTTGGGATTGTACAGATGAAACACATGATCCTCCCCTGGTGCTTCCATCACTTCCATAAATCCTCTCCAGCCTGTGTCACCCAACGCCTCCTTGTAGTACAAGCCCCTGTGTTTGAAGATATCCTTTTCAGCAATACAAATTAGGATCCTATTGAAAGCCAAACCCGACAGCCTAGGGTCCATTGTCGGGTTTATTAGAGGGTCATCACACCCGGTGGTCGTCAGGTTTGCCGCGCGCCAGAGGTTCTCTGCCCCGGACCTCCTCTCAGGTTCGGTGGTCTCCAAAGGCAATGGTTCGTTGCCCCAGAAATAAGGATGTACCATAATAGCGCCGGCAAATTCAATTCCTTGTAGTGTTTCATCTCCCGATCGGATGCCCATGTTGTGAACTATGTTAGCGCCGGCGCTATCTCCAGCCAGAAACACCTATGAAGAATTTAGAGAATGTTGTATTAGTGTGTACAATCATTACCAAGAATGATCAAGGATACTGTAATAAACAGTTCACAACAGAAAATTATGTTACGTAATTATCGAACATTATTTTTGTAACCGCCAACTGTATTCAATTATTTGAGAAAACTCAAGCGACCGATCGATCACTGGATAGAATTGCAAAATATTGTTTTATCTAGTTAATGACAAAGTTGAAATCTCCACCACTCAGCCAAAATCATTTTGAAATTCGAACATACAATCTGGCGCCCTTTGATGAAACAAATAGCCCTTATTTCATTAAAAATATATTCTAAGAACAATTATTACAATCAATTTTTAAATCGTTGCTTCAAATTTTTAAAGGTGCTTGACAAACTTCAAACAATTGTAGTACCTGTGAAGCTGTAGGAACATATATAATAGAGATGGGCATGGGGTGCGACGCCGAATGAGGCGAATTTTCCCCCCGACAAAAATGCCCCGCAGGGCATCGGGCAGGCAAAAGGCACCAAGGGGCTAATACGTCCCCTTGTATAATTTATATATATATATATATATTCATTTCTTTTATTCTATTTGTGAAAAAATGTGAAATAGTATTAATAGAATCCTAAGAACCATCTCCTCCTTACAAATTGCTGTCGTAGAAGATGCAAGCTTAGAAAGACCTCTAGGTAAGCAATTTGGATCAATTACTTTCCATGTGTTTCATCTTCACAATTGTCCCATATTGACCAATTTTCACCAGCTACAACACTTCGTAGCACAGTCATAAAGCAATACTTCAATACTACAACCACAACTATACCAAACAAAAGCTGAATTTACTATTATGAGTTTGGATGTCGTTTCTAATAGTATGTATATGCCAGTAAGTGATCTATATAGAAATTGAAGAACGTTCAAGATCACCTTCTTGAGATTGGCATGAGAATTCAACCACTCCTCGGGGCCGTTTCCGGTAGAATGAGAGACCACCCATTTGAGGGTAGTCCACGAATCGTCGTAAGCCACCGGAAGAGGATGCTCCGGTGCCCTTCTATAATCGACGGAGACAGCGATGATGTTAGCCTCCGCAACTAGGGCATTGAGATAGTTGTGGTAAGCTGGCGACCGTGCCGTTGCAATTATGAAGCCTCCTCCGTGAAAGTACACAAGCACAGGGAGCTTTTGGAGAGAATCGGTTGCAGCTTTTGGGATGTAAAGCCTCACGGAGACGGTGGAGTCCGATGAAATCGCAACGTCTTTGGACTGGATGCCGGTTTTCTCGTCCAGCGACGGAGGGATAATTTCCGTGCCTACAAATCTCTCCACTCGGCCATCCTTGTAAATCCTTACGAATGGAGACAAATCATAGAGCAGTTCTGTTTCCATTGTGTTTGAAATAGAAGCGAGTTCGCTATTGAGGATGAGAAGAAAGAGAGTTGATCAGAAGTTTATATTGGGTTCTTGTACTAATTTGCTGATTTTTATATGCCCTACGGACTTGCCTTGTCTCGTCGATAGTCCCCGTCATATGTGGATGGGAAGGAAGAATCTTCGTGCGATTGGTGCTCCATAAATGCGTTTCATGAGATACAATTTTGTTTTATATGGGACGATGACATTGTGTGTATTATAAATTTGGATTAGATGGCTCGATCAGGTCGTTGAGCATTGATTATTTGCTTTTTGGGTTGACCAACCTCATAAGCGACAAAATCTACTGGTAGCACTAATCTTTTATTTCGAAATAGGTTAGTTGGAGTATTATACAAAGGTAGCTAGGTGGTGTATGTAGAGGATAACCCGAAGACTTTGAAGAATCATTTATTTCGAAAGCTTAAATAGTTAGGGTACAACGCGAAATATATTTTATAATGGACATATTTTTTGTAGGAAGGCCAATTTGATGATGAAGGCCTTAGATATGCAAAATCCAATGCATGTACCCCAATGAATTGTTGAAATCCATTGAGTAAATGAAAGGGAAATTTGGGAATATTACAAAAAAAGTCTTAAACCTATTATAATTGTGCCAATTCATATCTAAACCTTTTTTTTCTGCCAATTTAGTTTTAAACATTTTGCGTTTGTGTCAATTCAATCTATCCGACTACTTTTTGTCGGAAATCGCTCACATGGATGCCAGTCGTCCAACGTGGCGCGGTCGGCACTGACGTGGACATTTTTAAATAATATTTATTTTTTTATTCTTTTCTTTCTCTTTCTTTTTTAATCCCTCGCCCAACCACTGGCGAGGCTCACCCTCGCCAACCCTTGCCTTTACTTGGTTGCCAAGGTCCGATGATTGGCTAGAGGAAGAAAATGTTCATGTTAGCGCCAACCGCAATACGTATAACGGCCGGCGTTCATGTCGGCGATTTCCTATCAAAATGGCCGGATGGACTAAATTGGCAAAAATGCAAAAGGTTTAGGACTCAATTGGTAGAAAATAATTTAGGACTGAATTGACACAATTACAATAGGTTTAGAACTTTTTTGATAATTATCCCAAGGAAACTCATAAATGGATTTCAACAACTCATGATGGAATTGATCGTGAGAGAGTCACTAAGTGATGGCCTCTAAGTTTCATTGAAAAGAAGCATGAACCAATTTTTATTTTCAGACTTCTTATGTGTGTGTATATGTATGTTATACATATATGAACATGAACATAATCATAATCATAATCGTTTTTAGCTATGAATAACGTATTAATTAGCAAAAAGTCAATTTTTTTAAAATTTGTCTTTCGAAAAATAAAAATAGTAAAGTGTAAGTATGCGTCCACCCTCTCAGAATCTTAAATCCATCACGGGTATCCTCAACGTTATGCTTCGAAAAAGACGTTATGCTTTAAAATGGATGCTATTCCCTTCAAATAATCAAAACATATTTTTGGGTGGATAAAAACGTTATGTTTCGTAAGCACCCAAAAACATTAAAGTATTCAAAGTCAACGCCTTTCATGGTATTGGGCTACGGCATTTTCAAGCATAGTCTTGCATTCCATTTTTTAACGTAAGAGACTATTATTGTAATTACATGATTTTGCCCAAGCGTCATCTATATATTTTTTTTATAAGAAACTGTTTTCAGTTCATATCTAGTGTACCTCACAACCATTATTAAAAAAGAATAATATTAGGACACAGATTGCTAATATCGGAGCAAAGGGGGATGCATGCGTCCGCCCTATTTCTGACCAAATTTATACCAATTTCTTGGCATTTTAATAATAGGACTTTGGTTTAATTCGTTAAATTATTGAAGAAGTCTTCTTTGGGTGCATATTATGTGCACCTCCACGGATTGCATAGGTGTCTTCTACAGAAATAATTACTTTCGCATATTGCTTTTTAAAATAATGAAGTACAGCTAAATCGACAGTTTATTATAGAAATCTTCAACGCATAAAATAATGATGAAAAACACAAGACTTCTCAAAAGCAATAATTTACTTTAGAGTAATTACAACATGAATTTCTCCGAATGAAAGTCATATAGTTGCAATATTTATTCCCTTTTAGTGTTCTTACGATATATGTAACCCAAAAAAAGTTTTAAGAACAATTATACTTAAACCATGCATCACGAGACGTACTAAGAATTATAGAGGTAGGAGTTTAGCGCTAATCAACCTAATTTACATCTAATGAAAGACGGATGTTGCCCCTTCAAACAAAGCCCAAAATCGAAGAAATATCAATGACGTTCATGATGGGCAACATGCCAATCTTCTTTTGTCTTTTGGGACACAATATATTGCCAATTTTACACCTGTGCAACAAGGTATGACGTCCCTTTCCGAATGTAAATAATGATTACAGGTAAGTTGGACTTAAAAACTGTGAAAAAGATATCAATATTAAGGGGAAGATAATGGATGCTTACCTAATGATCACAATGGTCATAGTTAACAAATGAACCATCTTCTTGATCCGCACCAAAAACGCCTGAACAAAATGAATCCCCTTAATTTAATTCGTAAAAAGGTATTAAACAAAATATTAAGCTCATTGACCTTTATAGAAGTAGCTGTCCTAGATTTTACCTTTTGTTTTTAAAGTTTTCCGCCTTTTCTAATCAAGTTCCTGTATTTTTAATTTTTTTAATCAAGTCTTTCCAATTTTCCAAAATTTCCAATCAAGTCCTTTTCCACTCCAAACCCAGCAAATCCAACTAACGTGGCCATCGAATGAGGACATAGTGAGATTGTTGACACCTAAATTTTGATACCTATTAATTGTCATTCATCACATGAGAAGATTAGGATTGAACTTGCCCTGTAAACAAAAATGTCAAAGGTGCATTGTTTACATTTGCATTCTACGTTGCATTACATGGCATTTAGGTACTAATAGCATCTAGAACTGACCAATTTGCACCAAGCATATTACAGGGAGCCGAAAACGAACTCAATAAGTGACCCCGCATAAGATATGAGCAAAAAGTTAAGTTTGGTGTGTAGAATAAGCTTAAACTTAAGTTCAACATGAGAAACAAGCATGAAATTGAACTTTCCTGTTAAGGAAACCTCTTAATAGATTTTGAAGTTAACAAAACTATCCATGTTAACCACCGCCCGCAGCGGCTGCGTTGGCTTCGGGCTCTCTTCCCCTCACGAAGGGAAGGAGTTCGAATCCCAGCGCTGTCGTTAGGGATTTTTAAGCGTGACGTCGTGGTGGTGGGTCCTGCGCTAGCGTCACCCCGGGTTTACCTCTCCGGCTGTCGGCCGTGCGGGGGGTTCCCGGGTTATCAAAAAAATAAAATAAAATAATATCCATGTTAATTTTGTAAGTCTGACACGTGCTATGAAGTATTTTGATCTAGGTAGATATATTCTGGAAATGGCAACTTCAATACTTCGAGAGAACTAAACTTTCTGGACACTCAGACTTTACGAAGACCAGAAGGAAGACACTTGGACTTTATGGGAACCAGATCAAGAAGTTCAGACTCTACTGTAAAAGTCACTCATACTTTATGTTTAGCAGATGAAGAACTTCAAGCTTCACTTCTGAAAGATTCAGACCTTACTGAAGACCCGTACTAACTTAAGTTCTGGATGAGAAACAAGAACTAGAAGTTATTCAGACTCTGAAACTACTCAGAACGAATATAACGGCTAGTGATCTAGCGTATATTTCACAGAAGGAAAGTTTTGATTGACTCAATCTTAAAAGGCTATAATTGATTGACAATCAAACATTAAGGCAAGTATATATCACAACGGATAAAGCTCTACTTATGGAAATCAAGATTCTGGTTGTATGGGCGGCCAGATTCATAGGGATTTAGATTTTGTCAATCAACAGCTACTCAATCTTGATTTTATACAAATTTGTCCAAGTCGAAGATTAGAAGAGGATTCTCTGAAGACTGTCCAACGGCTAGTTTGAAAGTAGAGGAGTATAAAAGAAGATTAACGAGGTGCAGAAGGAAGAGAATGAAGTCAAGAATCAACAAGTCCAAACGCTGAACACACTCCGATTCTACTACTTGTCTTTCCTGAGCCAAACACTGAGATCTTGAGGGATATCTTGTAAGAATGATTGTGTGAGATAGAGAGTCCTATTATATACAGAGTGATATCACTCAGAACTTGTAATCCTTTTTTATCACATAGTGAAATCTAGTCGGTAGGCTGTCAGCGTGGGAAAGTGGACGTAGGCTTGATTTAAGCCGGATCACTATAACTTCTTGTGTGCAGTTTTTCTATCGCTAAACTCTTAGTCTATCTTTTATACTGCACGCTAGCACATTATCTATAAAGTCTGCTCAGAATCTGAATATCTTTCAGACTTTAATCTTGATCATTAGTTTCCACTTTAAAAATTGATCAAAAGTTTCAGATCACCTATTCACTCCCCCCCTCTAGGTGATCCTTGCTAGCTTCGTCATTTCCAACTTCTTTGGAGCTTAAGCTAAAGGTTAATGCAAGAGATGAGCTACGAACTTAACTTTCCAACTTTCTTGGTGCTCGAACTCAAGTTTGGCATGAGAGATGTGTAAGAATAATTGTGGCCCACATGATGTTATTAATTAATGGTTTAATAATTATTATGCTATAACAATTATATTGGCTATAAAGAGGTGCGACTTTTACGAAATGGAATATGCTTTGATGGAAAGCACCTATTGATAGCCCATATAAATAGAGTATGGTCCACTCTCCACCCATAGAAGAAAGAATGTACGGTTGTACTTTATCCTCCATCAGATAAAATACGTTAAAAAGAAAAGTGGGTTAAGGGAGATAAATCGCATTTCTATGTTTCTCTTGTTTCTGCATCAATTATCTTCAAGAGCAATGCTATGGATAAAAGTATGTCCATTTTATTGTGAAAATCATAAAGATCTAATATCCTGGATTTCAGAATTTTTCCGCACAAAAGGATTACGTTATCGCTTACAAGATGAACCTAAAATTAGGTTTCCGACATTCTTGGATTCA